TGTCTCGTTACGCCGTTGGATGGCCTGTTCGGGCTCTCGTAGAAACAGGGAGAGCGACGGGGCGTGTGACCAACATACGACACGGTACACGGACCGTAAAAGGTACACGGCTCTCCGCGAAATTGGACATCGACGCGGCGGCGTAATAGGCCAGGGACTCCGGCTGCACGGAAAGTTCAAGTTACCGTCCCCGCTAACGATCCCGAATGATAGCGCTGCGCCTCCGCTTATTACGCCGTTACGTATTTTTACGCGCGAAATGGAAATTACACGGTGTCGGAGCGCGATCGAGGACCGATCGAGCGGTCGACGCGCACATCCGCTCGGTGACGATGGAAAACGGGGCCGACACGGTCCGCGCGGTCCCGCGGAAAACGCCACGGTTATTTCGTTCCGCGGCAAATCGATCACTCTTTGCGGCGGATGTCAGGGATTTTGTTGAAATTGAAATATGACGCGGTCCCTGAAAAATTAGGGGCGGTTTCAGTCATCGTTACGCTGCCAATGGTCTCCAAACTTTTTGAAAAGTCACCATCCGGGATCGAAACATATTGTCCGCACGCGAAGCGATAAAGGGTGGCTTCCACCCTTTATACCAGAATATTTTTTTACTGTTTTTTGTTAGAAAGTGTTTACTTTCCCGCCGTATAGCGAAATCTACCGTCGATTTGCGCTTTTGTAATAAAATTTGCGGAGAAACCGAGTACGAAAGGACTTTGAATATACTTATATGGTTGTTGTCAATTGTAATTTCAAATTTTCTTTTGCAACCCTCCATTCATGTATCTCATCTGCTTTAGGAAACGCGCTATCATCGATTTCGAATTTGTTTAAGTAACACGGGACATCGAATTGTGCAATTTTTGTTAATTTAAAAAATTCGAAAAAGATTTTGAGCGTATTTCTTGGAGGTTCGTTCAGAGAATAAGATTATCCCACGACCAGGCATTTTATAATTGACATCGCAACGAGCTGTTAAAAGTCACGGTGCAATCCGTTTCGTGCAACCGATTCACTCGCATGGTTGCTACGGTCGGCTGACCAAACGGCTCTCACGCTATATCATTTTAACGAAGTCTAGAAACGAAAACAAATGGTGCACTTACAGCTTTGTAACTATTTTACTGACCTACTCTACACGCCAGTGGCACTTTTCCCCGTAATAAACAGATCTACGAACACGCTTATAGTTTAATTATTAATAATTCGACAAGTATCGATGCTCCTTCATATAATACGGTGCTATACGGTGTACATTTAATACAATACGGTATTGTTGTTGTTTATTACGGTGCTATACGCTTTCTATACAGGGTGTTCGGCTACCCCTGGGAAAAATTTTAATGGAAAATTCTAGAAGACAAAATAAGACGAAAATTAAGAATACCAATTTGTTGATGAAGGCTTCGTTAAAAAGTGATTAACATTTGCGCCTGTAGATAGGCAACCTGCACATAACTGCGTGCGCTAGCGTCTCACAAGCGTAACTTTAAACGTTAATAACTTGTTAACGAAGCCTTCACCAACAAATTGGTATTCTTGATTTTCGTCTTATTTTGACCTCTAGAATCCCACATTAAAATTTTTCCCACGAGTGGCCGAACACCCTGTATATGGTGCTAAACCGTATCACTTATAAGTCATCACTTTGTTTGTATACATTCTTTATAAAAATTCAATTTCATTTTTTGTGTAAATTCTATTGGTCTTCGACTATTCTTAGGCACGTTCTATGCAAACGGTTTGAGGTGGGGATAACTTTGCAACGCCTTCGTGGGTAAAATTTTGTAACAGCCCGAAGGACAGCGGTACGTTTCTAATGAAATAAAACGCAGTCGACCGTGGGTTCGAACGACCGGGTCGATTAAGTCGTTGCAACGCGTTCACCGATCGAATGGACGGGCCTCGACTCGTTAATCCTCTTACCGCGGAACAAACTCCGCCGATGTAAACGATTAAAGCGATGACTCAAAGAACCGGCCGACCGCAACGGCGATCAGCATGCGGGAACTGGCCTACGGGCACGTTTACACTATTGTAACACGTTGTCGTTCAACGTTTTTCAAACGTGCCAATTGTCGGACAATGTGCACAGAAGCAACTGTCGCGTGCAAAGCTGGACTTTATACCACCGACTGGATCACACTCCATCAGCTGCGAAATTACACTAACAACCGACAATCCTCCTTTACTACAAAAATTACTACAGAAGACAAAAAGGGTACTTTTCCAGGGAGGTATAGGATAGGTAATTGCTCGAACATTTTGATGGCATAGACAGAAATACAACCTGGGTGAATACAATCCAGAATTCACTCTTCCCAGTTTTTTCAATTGCTCGATCGACTGACTGAAAAGTGATTCGTAGGAAATGAACTGGAAACACGAACGACTTCTACGGTTTGCGTGGTTGTGAATCAGTATCGAATTGGAGGCTTGGTTAAATTGAAACATTCATTATTTAATATCGAAAGGAGAGTCTTTGGGAGTACTGGGCAACTTACGATCTTTGCACAGTACAATCTAAACCTAAGAGCCATTTCCGTGTTAAAGCACGACCACAACTACTAAGAACAGAATGGTTATCTGTGTGGTTATCTACAAGGTACGTGTGTTGTTTTTATTAGTCGAGGGAACCATAAAAAAATGTAGGAAGAGATCACGGTTTGATTTAGGTGGACAGGGTACTTCCGTCACAATTCAAATGCAAACTTTTCAGCTTCGTGCAATACATGCACAGTTTTCTTGATGTTTCGAATAAGAGATTCATTCTCGATTAAGAAGCTATAGATACACTGATGCTAATAAGACAATTTTGATTTTTTTTAAAAGAAGGTTTATACACGAAACAGGATGTCTCCAAAAGTTCAAAATACGTTAATAAAAAATTCATAAATATCAGTTATCTGCACTGCTACTACGAATCCCCCCTCGACAGGAACGAACGAAAACGAGTGCGCAGGGATGAATAAAACCGCGACTGTTCGCCTCTTCGTCGACTGAATTAACCGTAATAACCGATGCATTTAGCCGCGACATTCAAAACTTGTGCACGAAATACCATCGGCGTTCCGCTATCCCCACCCTCGTTGTACGTCCTACCCCTCGAATTTCCTCATCCCTTTTACCACCGGCCCGTTCCATCGGTCCTGCCGCGTCGCATATCATTACCATGCAAATACGCCCGGCGTGCGGCAAAGCCCGTGTAAAATCGTCCTTTCCCCCACCACTTTGCGCCGCAGTAGCGTTCGGTCCTCTCTCTTCGCTCGCGCGTGTACCCCCTCCCCCGCCCCTCTTTCTCTCTCTCCAACTCCCACGCGGCGGTCCACTCGCTTCCCACTCCACGTCGGCTACCCAGTCACATATGCAAAACGCGCCACTATTATAATAACATTACGCCGATGAACCTTCCATTGAATATGCGCTCCGCGAGCGTGGATTGCATCGCTAATTACGTACCGGGTGGCACGATTCGCACGAGGCCCCGCGGTTGCGATTTTAACCCTTCGGGCACGACCCGACTTTTACTCGCGGATTGGCTCTTTGCATTCTAACGATTTTCACAGGGGCACCCTGTCCTGTGAAAGGGCTTTAAAAACATTGGAAAACGGGACCGCTGTATTATTAAAAAAGTGGTGGAAAATATGGGTACAAAGCAAAGAGTTAAATAGAACCTTAACGATCAAAGAATTCCATCGATTGAATAATTTCAAAAATAATTTTCAAAATTAAGGTAAACATGTTAATGGGAGATTCTACAGGCCAAAATAAGACCTAGAACGGCAATCTGCGAACAGCTTCATGTACGCCGTAGGCTGAGGCAGGCCAGTCGTAGTGGTTCTCGCTCAGAAAACTGTAAAAACAAGTGAAAGAACTGTAAGAACAAAAGCAATCACTCAAAGGTAACTGAACACCTATACATATATATTAGTAGCGAAGACGAATCTAACATTTTGTAGCGTGTGGCCTATAGCAGCATTAGCGCCGAACGCCACCGTCGACGAGAGTAACTGACCGCACGGTTCACGAAGGGTTAACACGTTCACTGTCCAGTCTCTCAGCGGCGTATCCAAAAGCATGGTGCTGTGACCCGTATACGGGTCATGGACAGCGAACAAGTTAAGGCGCTGGAACGGGATCTCTCTTTTTCTCCGTTTTGGTCGGTTGTATGTCGGGTGGTCGGCGTTCGCTCGACATGGACACGTCGCGTTCGCCGCAATTTGTTTCCCCCGCGGTACCTTTTTTCCTTTTTTTATAGACGAAACGATGTCGTGATTTTCGCGACACGATCCCCCCTCCCCTTGGTCGGCGTTGCGACTAAATATTGTTGATACCGTGTCTTTTTCTCTCTGACGGGCGACTCTGGCCGCTGGGACGCTGACACATTTGTGGGACGCCTGCAGCCACGCGGACGGGGTAACGCCCTTGTTTTATAGTTTCGTTGACGGGCGCGGCGATCGTCAAACCGTTCATCGGTTCCCGCGTTGCAACGCTGACGAGATAACGTTTACGCACGGTTTTCATTTTTATACAGCCTTCGGGGACCGCCCGACACGCTTATTTTTAATATTCTACGTTTACGCGCCGCGCGGAGAATCGCTGTGCAAGGCGCTTCGGCTACAGGTGTCTCCGAAACTGTAAACTCACCGCGCGTTACGACGCGTTCACTATTTTTTGATTAAAATATTTCCATCTAAAAAGTGTAAACATATTTTTTAATATTACATATGAATTGTAAAAGATCATTTTTTAATTTTACAGAATCAATTCCCAGGGACCCACACAGCGTTTAACGTGTTAAAAAGAATTATTGGTTGGTCCTCCGAAGAAAAATCTGCACCGTGCGTAAAAATTGATTTAAAAGTAAATAAGAGTAATTTTTCTTACCTTTGACGACGACGGTCATGCAGAAGAACATATTACACATACCCTACGGAAAAATAATCAATTTTTTTAATGGTGGATGATTGAAATAAATCGACAATCGATTTAGTCTCGAGTATCACTTTTTATTTAATCGTCTCTCGTCTCGATTTCTGTTATATTCTCTAAGCCTGACAAATATTTACACGATTCATTTTGTTTCCTTTATTAACTCGCTTTCCGTCTCACTTTTAGGGGACGTAGAAAAATATGACGGTATACTTAAAGACTGATATATAATATATAATATGTATACGTATATACAAAATGTACAGAGGGAACGCGATACGAATGCCAGCGTTTATTCTAATTAATTCGCGGTCTCGCCGCCAAAGGCGATTACGCGCAACGAGCGGAACGAACTTAATTCAAGACTCTCTTTGATAAAAATGACTGACCGGAAAAAAGTCTATTGATCCGGATAATACGTTGATTCGGACGCGAAACTATCATTTCCATCGTCGTCGATATCTGAAATATCTTCTATCATTTATTCTCCTTTTTGTCTATTTGATCCCCCCCCCGGAATCGAACGATTTTTCTTTTTTTTTTTTTTGCCCGTTCAAGCGTTTACGTTCAATCACCATTCTCAGATCGTAGAATCGTCGTCCTGGTTCGTTCGGCTCGTTCTTGCACGGGTCCTTTCTTTGCCAAGTGTAACAACAACAACAATAACAAGAACAACAGCAACAAAATGTCTCTCACAATGTCGTATAAGAACTATGTACACCCACGTTAAGAAGAGTTCACCTTCGAGAATGATTTCGGTGTTCCGTTGCGGTCTCGTTCAGTACATGACCTCGTAGACGGTCGCCTTCTTGTCACCAGACCCGGTAACAATGTACCTGTCGTCCGCAGATATATCGCAGCTCAGCACCGACGACGATTCCTTCGACTGGAAACAGCACAAAACACGTTCTACGTGAAGATTCGCTCGCAACTATACAGGGTGTTCAGCCACCCCAGGGACAAAATTTTAATGGATTACTCTAAACGCCAAAATAAAACGAAAATCAAGGATACTAATTTGTTGATCGAGGTTTCGTTAAAAAGTTATAGAAACATTTCCACGCAGTATATTTTCGGTAAAGAATTTTTTTCTCGAAACTACGTAGGATTTTGGGAGTATGTGTATTCACCAAAAATGATTGAAATTAACCCCCGCAGCCGAGAATAATTTTTTGAGAATGATTTGAAACTTTTCAATTTTCAGGGTAACAGACAGTTATGGTCAAACATTATATTGTCAGTAATGAATTTTTTTCTCGAAAATGGTTAGGATTTCGAGTGTATGTCTATTCACAAAAAATGATTGTAATCGACCTCTGCAATTGAAAATAATTTTTTTAGAACAATTAGAAATTTTGTAATAACTTTTTAGCGAAACCTAAATCAAGAAATTGATGTTCTTGATTTTCGTCTTATTTTTCATTCAAAATTTTCCCCAGGGGTGGCCGAACACCCTGTATGTCTTTTAGCTTTTCTTTACAATTCTTATATTCGTTATCGTTGAGGTGCTCGAAAATGTTGAAAATTTTGTCGTATCTATCTCGTTACGTCATTGTAAACTATAATGCTAGAAATTTACATGCTGTTTCAACAAATACAGAACTCTCAATAAACATTACGCATATTATATTTGCGGGCTTGTTTACGTTATATTACTATAATTTGCAGCTACGTTCCTGAGCAGAAGTTGGTGAAAACGTCGAATTAATATGCGATCTGGTTTTGAAATTTAGTCGTTCAAACGTACCAAAGAATATTTCACTCTTTCGACCAATACATTTTGACGTTTCCTTTTTTACTTTACTCTTCGAAGAACGTGCTTCCAATGCATTAATAAATTTGCAATAAAAAGAAAATTAACGAGCTTGAAAATAAATGATGAATATAAAAATGTAAGATTACGTCAACGGCTGGGAACGTGCAAGGGCGTAGTCAAGCCTTAGAATCTACAACTCCATATCAAGAGCTCTGATTTATCGAAAAACTCTAAAAAACTAACGAAATTAGAATATACGAAATGGTCCTTTCCTTCCATCGCTCAAAATGAGTGCGCTTTTTTGCTCTTGACGACGACTATTTATTATTCAAAGTATGCGCGATTTAGATCGAAGCACTTTTTAAAACCACTTGCATAAAATATCAGCTCTCTGAAAACGTGCAACCATAAGTACGAACGCGACATTTTATGTTCAACATAAAATATCAAAAAGTGCTATTGAATTGCTGGAGTTCAAAAATTAAGGACTTCTTATACCTTTAACAAGTTGAGTGCCGGACTAAAAATCTTTGATTTTAAACATTCGCAGGCCACGTAACTTAAAACTTGTCTTAGTATTCATTTTCGATGTTCAAATTTGTTTCCTTCGACACGATTTTTCAATAGGGAGCTAAAAAAATTGATTCTCAAGATCAGATTTTGCAGAAAAGAAATCTAGATAGGACTCTTGAATTTTAACGAGACTAATAAAAATAAGTTGTGGGTACGTTGGTTTCTAATTGTGGACAATTTGAGGGGTTTGGTCTGGGTTAGGTATGAGTTAAAATAGAAAGAATAATGATTTTGAGTTCGTTCTAGTACGGGCTATGGCGACACATGTACTAAAGATACACGCCAAATTTGAACGAAATCGGTCGAGTAGATTTTGCGATATCACGGCAGCCAATTCAGAAATGACAGTTTTGAGAAAAACACATCTAAACAGAAGGATCAGATTCAAACAGGTATAGCTCGACTGAGCAATATGTACACCATCGTTAATTGTAGAAGTTCGATGATATGCTTTTGCACACATATTTCTAAGACTGTATCCTTTAAGAAAATATCAAAAAAAAAAAAACCAAAGAAAAATTGAATTTTTTGCCGGTTTACAGTAGAAGACCCTCTTAAAAAGTGTTAAGAAATCTAATATAAGAAGGATGAAATTCGTTGCAGATCATTACCTGGAATATCGATGCACCGTAGGGCGTACGCCACGCGTTCAGAAGATTGTCCTTGCCAGTGGAGACGAACCATTTGCCGCAGGACGCGAATCTCAGAGACAGAACGCAGGACTCGTGCAGGTGCAGCTGATACTTGTCCGGTTTGGTGGCGTGCAGGACCTCGACGTTCGAGTTCTCCATGCCCACGGCCAGCCATTCTCCCGTGGGACAGTAGCCGAGGGAGAATATCTGGGAGGTGAAGTCGTGTTGCTGTAGCTGCCTGCCCTCGCGAAGGTCCCACGAGCGGACCGTGTTGTCCAAACCGCCTGTCCACAGTTTCGAGCCGTCCGCGGAGATGTCGATGCAGGAGGCGCCGTCCGTGTGACCTTGGAACTGTCTGACCAACGTTTGATTCTGGAGATCCCAGACGGCGATGTGGCCGTCGCTGCAGCAGCTGAAGCAGACCTTCGAGTCCGGCGAGATGGCCAGAGCGTAACAGGCGGGGGCGGAAGAGATTAATTCGGCCTTGATCCTCGGCGTCGGGCTGGCCAGATCCCAGATACTCAGTCGACTCGCCTCGCCTCCGACTATCAGCGTCCTGCCGTCTGGTAGCAGTTTCACCGACCTGCACAGATCGCGTTTATACTCCATTGTACGATCCGTGCTCATTTTTTACGCGTTCGTAATCGGATAGCCACAAGCGGAACCGTGAGAATTTTACTTCGTCGCCCGGTTCCTGGATCGGATCGACTACTGTCGGTTAACACGCGTTAAACTATTCGAGAACAGGGTCAGTGGCACTATTACGGAGTACGTTACTAAGTTGAAACACAGCAATATTAACACTTTAATGGTCGTGCTAATCACGCAAAGACCGTTATTCGTCATCACTGATATTGTAGACCAAAGTGAGACACATGAAGATGCTAGGAATATTATTATAAGGAATTATAAATGTAACCTCAACAAACGTAATAAGTTGAATGTATGATGCCTGAATGGTGACTGATAGCTGCTAGTCTGCTAGCTCGCAAAGTCACGTATACGTGACAATGGCCGTCAAAGTGTTAAAGCAATCGATTACGATCATCATTTGTTGCAACCAATATGCCCGAACTCCAAAGCACCTGAGTTTTTGAGATGATCTTTGACCTAACATTATACATAATAAGGTAAGTAAGTAGTAAGTATTCTGAATTGACGACCAAAGACACAAAAGACGCGCAGGAAACCTCGAACCTCGCGCTACCTTTCACCGCGTCACCGCTCGGCTCAAAGCCGCTGACACGACGAAAGGGTTAGCTGTATTCGCGCGTTTCGCTAGTGAAAATCGATTATAAATAATATCGTAATTTTAATAATACCCTCCGATATCCGTTCTATCGGCTACAATCGGCCGCTTTCCAACGTTGCTGGCCATTTTGTAAATCTGATAACGCTGTTCCCGATAGCGACGCGACGCAAATTCGACTGCCCCGGCTCGGTTTCGCAGAATCGAAAAGTGGTAATCATTTTTGCGCGTTCGTAGCGCGTCGAAATCATCCCGAGCACCGTCGACCGTGATTAGCAACTGCGACCGATGGATCGTAAAGTACCTTTTAATGTGGGGACGCGTGCATTACCGGCGAAATGTATTAAATTTGCCGGGCGCATCGGGCAACCGGACGTTTCGAAAAAAAAGAAAAAAAAAACGCTCGCCCGGGGTTCAATTACCGCGCGTATCGGGGCGGACATTAACAGTCATACAGGCGCGATATTATTCCACCCTTCGACGTCGAAAACGTGCATCGAGCGCAAATGCGTCGTAAAAATGCCGAACATCGCGTTTATTCTATCACCAGTGGCGGGGGGTACGATGTGATTTTTCACCGTTTCGCTCGCTGAATACCGAATTCACGATGTTTCGCGTACACACGACGATCGAAAATGCTTTCCGGCCGTAACCGTTTAACCCTTTTTGCTCTCCGAAACGAGACGATCCCCGTGGACGTTCTATTAGGTCGAGTCATAAGTAACTTCCGTTTTTTTGTCAGACATGTATTTTGCTCTCATTAAATAACAAAATTATATTAACTTATTATGTATTCACCACTATTATCTATAACCTTCTCCCATCTTCCTGGAAATTTATCAATTCCTTCCTTGTAAAATGTGGTTGGTTTGGACTGGAAGAAGTTTTCGACAGCCTGCCTGACTTGCTCTTCAGAATTGAAGGTTTTTCCATTCAAAAAGTTTTGTAAGGAACAGAAAAGGTGATAGTCTGTCGGGGCAAGATCCGGGGAGTATGGAGGATGTGGTAAAACAGACTATCCAAGCTCAAGAATTTTTTTTAAGTCATCCTTGCTGTACGTGGTCGCGCATTGTCGCGTAAAAGAATGACGTTTTTGAGATTTACGAGTGCAGGACGCTTTGCAACTGCTAACCGTATCTATCCGCGGTAATCGTTAAATTTGACATCAACAACTCGTGGTGAATTATTCCCACCAACACGCAATAAAATCTTTTTGCCATGGATGTTTGCTTTCGGATCTGGTAGGGATGGTTGGTCTCAGGTAACCCATTTTTCATCGCCTGTTACAATCCTGTTTAAAAAAGGCTCAATTTTTTTCCCGTGAGAGCAGACTTGTGGCGATCGACATGCGATCTTCTTTATTCCGTTCACTGAGATTGTGAGGTACCCATACTCCTAACTTGCTGATTTTCCCTAATTTCTCCAGGTGGTTCATAGTTGATCGTGATGTATTCAACCTTTCTGCTATACCTCTTGTTGTTTGACGTGGATTTTGCTCCAATATTGCCTTTAAAAGATTGTCGTCAAAGTCGAAAGGACGTCCCGCCCTCGATTCGTCTTTTAAGGTCCTATTTCCAGAACGGAATTTTATAAACCAATTTCTAACTGCCCGATCAGTTATTAGTCCTTCGCCATATATACTGCATATTTTGTTCGGCTGTCGCCTTAGCACTATTGCCTTGTTTAAATTCCCAAAGCATTACATGACGAATATGTATTTCTTCACTCTCCATTTCAGAGGTTAAAAAAAAACAGTTTAACGTAATGTGTATCACACAAAACAGTTGACAAAAGACTAACTGAAGCCTCGTCTATATAGCGAAAACAAAGATTCTACTTAGCTGCATCGGAAGTTACTTATGACTCGACCTAATAAAATCAAAATTGTCGCGACTTGATACGTCGACATTTAGCGATTTATTGCTCTTTCAACATTTTCCATCAATGCATAGAGAGCATTGAATTGACGACAGACGTCGAAAGAGGGTCTAATATCTTGGATGCTAAAGGATGAACGGTAAAAAGAATTTTTTATTAACCCTTTGATCGATCATGGAAGGCGCAACTAAGTTATAAACGCAGATCTATTAATGAATTATTTTCTCGAGTACGTTAACATTTAAAACGTACGTCAATGTAAATAATACAATTTATTTTTAAAATACTGATAAACGAAAACATTGACGTGCATGCGTCCACAGCACTCAAAGGGTCAATTTAAAAACAGCTGGAAATACCCCCTGTTTCTACGTCGAAACGTGCTTCATTTTTAAAAAACAATTCGCGAACCAAATTACAAAGTTGATTGAGAATGCAAGCTATAGTTAACACGATTAAATTTCAAATAATATATAAGTTTGTTTAAATATGACGTATTCCCCCGTCGACCGTTTTTATTGGTTTATCTCGGATTGTGTGCCCAGACCGACGCGGAAATACGTAACAATCAAATTTCGGGGGATTGCGAACCGGTGGAAATCGTGACTTTTAACGGGGGAAAATAAACGGGTAAAAATTCCAATTATCCGTAAAAATTGATGTTAAAATCGAAAAAAAAAAATATGTAAAAATACAAAATTAAAATTTGGAATTGTTAGGTTAGTTTGTTGAGAGAACCACTGACCTGATGTAGTTATCAGGCTGCAAACAGTCGAGTTGCGATACCGACTTCGTGCTTCCTGTACCGCCCTGTCCAATGTCCCAGACCTTGACGCATCCCTTGCCGCCGGTGTACACATACTTGGTCGGATTCGAGATCGTGACGGCGCACACGACCTCCCCGTGACTGAGAGTATTAATTTGCCTCGCATGACGCGGTATCCCTTGTCCGATCAGCGCATCCGGTGGGAAGGGCACCGGCTGCATCTGGCCCTCGCTCGACACGTGGAAGCTGTACGCACTGGAACATCGAGAAAAATGCGACTCGTGAGGTGAACAAGCCGTGTTTACCGACGATACCCGCACCGCCGTGTTCCGGACAGCCGATTACCGATCTAAACATCGTGCACGTTTAGCGAAACTAGATAAGTTAATAGAGCTGACTACCGTCTGCATCGCGAATCTTTTCGACTTTCGAGCCGAAATATCATCGATTGATTTCCAATTTCCAGAAAAAATCCATCTTAACCCTCTCAGAGTACTGTGCCGGAGTCAATTTTGACTCGTCACACGCCTCGAGGCACACGCACCCTACGTCTTGTGTCTACTGCCCCCGATCGATGGGACACTTCCCACTCGTTTTTGTCATACATTGATTTCCAATTTCCAGAAAAACTCCATCTCAACCCTCTCAGAGTACTGTGCCGGAGTCAATTTTGACTCGTCACACGCCTCGAGGCACACGCACGCTACGTCTTGTGTCTACTGCCCCCGATCGATGGGACACTTCCCACTCGTTTTTGTGATACATTGATTTCCAATTTCCAGAAAAAATCCACGTTAACCCTCTCAGAGTACTGTGCCGGAGTCAATTTTGACTCGTCACACGCCTCGAGGCACACGCACCCTACGTCTTGTGTCTACTGCCCCCGATCGATGGGACTGTCGATCGACGTACCCCTTTTGTTTTTTCACTAGTACCTTTCTGCTTTCGAATCGATTCGCTGGATTAATTTCAGCTATACCGGGTGTTCGGCAAACCTCTAGCAAAAATTTTAATGAGCGACAGTAGAGGCCAAAATAAGACGAAAATCAAGAATACTAATTTGTTGATGGAAGCTTCGTTAAAAAGTTATTAACAATTAAATTCAAAAATTTCAAATCGTTCTGGAAAAATTATTTTCGGTTGCGGGGGTCAACTACAATCATTTTTGGTGAGTACACATACCTCCGAAATCCTATCTACTTTCGAGAAAAAAAATCGAGTAGGTGCTGAAATTTTTCGGCGAAAAAAAATTTTTCAAATCGTTCTAAAAAAATTATTTTCGGTTGCGGGGATCAATTACAATCATTTTTTATCATTACACATACCTCCGAAATTGTACGCACTTTCGAGAAAAAAATTCCTTACTGAAAATCCAATTAGGTGCCTAAATTTTTCAACGGAGAAAAAAAATTGCAAATCATTGTGGAAAAATTATTTTCGGTTGCGGGGGTCAATTACAATCAGTTTTTGTCATTAGACATACCCACGAAATCCTGCCCACTATCGAGAAAAAAAATAGAGAAGGTGTGAAATTATTCGAGAAAATTAAAAAATTGCAAATCGTTGTGGAAAAATTATTTTCGGTTGTAGGGTTCAATTACAGTCATTTTTGGTGAATAGACATACCCCCGAAATCTTGCGCATTTTCGAGAAAAAAATTCAGTAAGGGCGGCACTTTAAACGTTAATAACTTTTTAACGAAGCTTCCATCAACAAATTGGTATTCTTGATTTTCGTCTTATTTTGGCCTCTACTATCGCTCATTAAAATTTTTGCTAGAGGTGGCCGAACACCCTGTATACAGTGTTGACATAAGTATTGGCACAGCATGGTTGTGGTGGTACAGATGCTTATAACTACTAAACAAATTGATTTGAAGGTAAAACTTTTTGACGTATTCATTTATTATTTATTTTAGTTTATTACATAACAAAAGCAATAATATAAATAAATTGATTCACAAAACAGGAACGAAAATGTATTGAACATTTTATGGGTGGACGAATGTACTGGTACATTCTACCTATAAAATAGATAATAAATGAACATGTCAAAAAGTTTTTCCTTCAAATCAATTTATTTAGTAGTTATAAGCATCTGTACCACCACAACCATGCTGTGCCAATACCTATGTACAGCATTGTAGGTTTGCGAGCAAAACGGACAGAACACAGGAGAAAAAGCATACAAACGTGTTTTATTTACTTGATTGTAAGTGTTTCCAAGCGAGTCACAAATGACTCCGGCACAGGCTACGAAGTCCAGCACTCGGAATGTTAACCCTATGCACTCTAAGACTTTTCTACGATCACCAGCAACACACTTTCTTACAAAAAACAGATGGTACCAATAACTTTGTCCACCTTGAATATTCATTTCCAAATATATAAAGAAACATGTGCGGAATAGGAAACAAATAACATCCACGTAAATAAGGTAAGTCGATGTTTCGTATGCAGCCACCCAATAATAAGAGTCCCAAGTGCTCGTCTAAATATCGCGTCACTTCTATGTACGTTTATCTACGCGTTTCTCGGTCGCGTTATCGTGATACGTTAGCGTAACAGAAAAAAGGCATTTACTTCGTCTATGTATAACGCGTACGGCCTATCGGTCTTTATCTTGAACATTAATCTCGCTGCACAGACATTTGTTCTAAAGTAAATATATCGATAACGCGTCGTATTTTAACCGTTCCCAGCTACAATAAACAATGGAGGATCGCTGAATTTTCATAGCAAACAAAATCGCAGATAACGAGCCCCGCCTCCGAGCATACGAACGACAAACAACGTTAACAAAAACCACATTATGCCGCGTTCGCGTATCGGCGTCCGATCTTTCGTCAAAAATACAAAGTGTTCGACTGGGGGAATCGACCGTATCGCGATATGCAACTTCCAGGCGTGAAAAACGAAATCTTCGACAAACAAAAATGAGCGTTCTCTTATCGTCTCGAGAACGGTGAACCCGAAAAACTTCGACGTTCTGCGCAGAATTCTCGGGGAGATTCGTTGAACAAATTTTTTTTTTTTCGTCGCCCCGTAAACTCTCTAAATATTGCCTTTCGATATCCGTCGTTAAATATGAAAACGACGGGCAATCAAATTATCTTATCTCGAGACACGGTCGACACCGAGGCGGCTTTGATCCACGCGAACGCAAACAGCTGGTAGTTACTTAGCCTTCGTTCAATTTAGATTTGTTTGGAGAACTGGCTTCGGAGCCTCGGAACGCGCGTCACTTGCCAAACCTAAAAGATATCGATATCGAGCGACAAGGTAAGATAGTTCGCGCGTTGATCTACGATTTAATTGAAAAAGATCTGACCGAGGATTTTAATTGAAAGAAATCATACATGATTGCTCCAGCTCGTATTCGCGAGAAATGAAATAAATAAGTTTGTTTGTAATCATTTACTTTAGCGATTCCTCGCCAATTTCGATGACCTTGAAATATGTTGTCAAGGTCACTGTTATGAAGATTTCTTCTTTCTACGTGTTACCGCCGCTCGCCCTTCGTTTTCGAGACATTTGGAAAAATAATTTTATGTCTGAATTAGCCTCGGGTTGAGTCGGAGATAAAATATTAAACTTTATTCTATATTATCATTATCATTATTGTTATTATTATTGCCGTTATTATTAACAGAAATTGGAAACATGTCTGCCATTATATCAAAAGATGCAGGTATTCTTGTATTAAAATCATGACGACCAACGACAAATAATGTGTACTGTGTCAAGCTAATGTCGGATAATCTTAATATAGAAAATTGAAATAGAAGATGAATGCGTGGCCGGTATAAGAGAATCTAACCTAAACCTAATCCATTATGTTAATTACTAGGTAGAATAGTTAGGTTTAAGTAAGGTTTGGGTAAAATTTGTTTATTATAATAAACAATCGGCGATTCAACGCTTACACACACGCTGCCCCAGTCACTGTACGTATAGACAGAATTCATCGTAGTAGCAGCGATCTTTTTGAAGAAAAATCTCGGAAACTAAGGCCCAGCGGCGGTTATATGTATGGAGAAAAAATCTCCATAACAGCGACCTTGACAACATATTTCAAGGTCATCGAAATTGGCGAGGAATCGCTAAAGTAAATAATTATAGTTTGTTTCATTGTTCGTTGCCCGACGTCCTGTTTATAAAACACGTAATTTGGAAAGAATTATTCGTCCCGCTCGACGAGAAAGAATTTCAGAGCTAATATTAATCCTTTGCGCACGAGAAGCGACTCTTGGTCGCCACGACGTTTCGCGAGGCAGGACGAGTGGCGAGTGAGAGAAAATTATTTTTCTGGGAACTGGAAATCTGTTTAATTAATTCGTACATTCTCTACAAACATGTGAAAAGGCAGAGAAACGAACAGCCAGTTACACATTCGAACTTTCGCAAAATTTTGGTCAAGAAATTGAGAAGAGATATTCGTCAACTACGAGATAGATCTTCAAGTTCGGCGTCCAACTCTGAAGAAATTCGTCTAAACGGAAAGCTTCATGTAATTCTTATTGGCACAAAGAAGGATTGCAAAGTTTGTTCTAGTCGAAACAAACCAGGGGGAAGACATGAGACGACCTATTTTCGTGATACATGTCCAGATAAGACAAGAATGCATCTTGGGTCAACGTTTTATAAATTATCATACCAAGCGAAACTACAGATCTTAGTTTTTCTAAAATTATATTCATAAAGGTGCGAATCTGGATAAAGCATTGAAATATAACGTTTTTGTAACATAATTTAATTGTACCATGTAAGACACTCGACAAATTTGCAAAAACTGGCTGAAAAAGTCGTCGTCCGCAAATGGTCAACCCGGCTAGAAAACGTGTTGCCATCGTAAAAACAAAAATCTGGCCTCGAATGGGATGGGTGCTCGAGCGCTAACAAATCTTCGATGCTGGACCATGGGTCACTTTAAACCGTTAGTCACTGTCAGTTAAATTCCAAGCTAAATTAACAATCTCCTCCCTTCGAAAGTTGCGCCGCGGAGATAGTCATTCTCACGGAATCACAAATTCTGCCAATCACTTTGCCCGGTCGTCTAATCTTTTCGGAAATAATGGACTCCATGGAATTTGCGTTAGCGCCGAGAACGATTTCCACCGATCGTGGATGAAACACCAGCCTAACTTTCGTACGAACAACGCTGGGGAACGTTGAAACTTCCGTCGAAAGTACACAGAGTCGATCATCCGACAGCGCAAACACGTTCAAACTGCAGAGATTCTGTTTCTAACAGTTGTGAATTCCGATCTCTTAATATTCGGTCACCTCGTTATATTATTAGATTTGCGAACAAGTTCTGTTTCTGAGCACACAATGAACGATATTGCTCGTAATAAATAAGGAAAATATACAACGTTCTCTGGCGCGATTCACGAGGGAACGAGATATTTCTTTGCGGCAAATTTATAGAGCGACGCGCGTTCCCTAACAAAATGCATTTGCATCGTTGTGTGCTTCGCGTGTACCGAATGAAGAATAATGTGCAAGCGGCTGCCAAAAATCTCCGCAAAGTATTCGAAAATAATGATATCTGATCAGCTGCTTTAAGATGTGCCATAAATTACAATGGGTGGCTAAATCATTGGTTACAGATGTTTGAAATACGTTTTGAAATTGGTAAGACAGATTCTCGAATTTAAATTAAATTCACAACCAAATCTTCGAGATACGTTTACTCGGATTTGCAATCACCGTGAAAAGTTAAAAGAGTAACATAAAAAAAAATGTGTTCAGAATGGTCTGGGGAGATTCTTGTAAACGTTAGATATTTGATTTCTTCTTAGCCACAAAACAATACCTAATTTATTAAAAAATGTGAATAGTCCTATATAAACTCCTCAATTTTTTTTTTTGTTTAACACTAGAACTACCGACAATTATAGTGTGTTTATTTGTATCAAGGTAATTGAAACGATAGGTGCGTGAAGAAATGTATAATGCAATGGAAATAAGTGTTTATTCATTCTCTTATAGAAAATTACGATAAATTTCCAAAAATTCAGTCGAGTAAATTTTTTACAGGTTTTATTAGAAATTACGAATGGGTCATTTTGACCGGTTTGGTAGTTCTAATGTTAATATGATGCAACTTTCGTATGAAAGTATTTGATGCACGATAGTTTATTTAAGAACTATTTATGTAACAGTTCGTACATTTATAATTTTAACACGTAAGGTGGCTTCAAATCGATCGGAATTATAATACAATGTAACTAATAATTTGTACACAGGAAGTGGATTAGAAAATCTTATCGATTGTCTACAGCCTTCCCCCACGTAATATGAACAGTGCAAAATATTTATGAGTTACAACAACGTGTAAAAAAGGTTGCAACAAGCCTAGTATATCAGAAAAAAATCAGTCGAGAGTGATTGTACGCGTGATACAATCAATGATACGGGATATCAACTCGTGTGGCCGCTAATGGAGGTCGCTTCGATTATCTATTATAAAGTAACGTTTTCCAACGAGTGACAATATCTCGAGAACAACTTAACACCCATGTTTCTTGCAATGTATTTCGTTAAATTCGAACTCTAGTAATCGTTTTCAAATTGACTACTTTAGATTAACGTCCAAGCGTAAGCTGCTTGAAAAAATGTTTCACAAGAACGTCGCGCGATAGAAACGCAGGGATACACGGCATAGTAATCAGTTTTTAGTTATCTTGCTCTTTTACCGAGATATGAAGATCACCTTGATCTTTTTTTTTAAACGAAACACCCAACATTTCGAAATCTAAAAAGTGAAGTTTATCGCGAGCCGGTAACGACAATCAAAGATACACGAGAACGTGTTATTACAGCGCTTAATGGTACAATAACTACAGTGTGTCACTCTGACTCATTCATCGATTACACGCTCCGAGCTCAGTCATTTACATTAGAAATTATTTTAAAAATATCTTTGTAATCGTTAACTTCCGACCTCGTACGCTCGTTCAGGGTCGAATTCAAAACAGTCGTCTGAATTTTCCTTTTAAAAAAATAAAGAATGCCTTCGAGCATAATTTTGATAAGTACAGCGATCCCTCGTTAATCGTTTTTATCGAGGGAAGTACTAGAAGCTTGATCGCATTACAGGCGAAAGTGAATGAAACAGAGAGAGAAATATTCAATGTTTTTAAATCGTTTAGAAATCGAAGTACAGCGGTGTTTTAAAAAAAGAGGCACAGAATAATTGGAAATAATTTCACATCTATGCACGACAATGATCCAAAACACACCGCAAAAATATGTCGAAATTATTTACGACAGTTAGAAGAAAATTCTAATGTAAAAGTAATGGAACGACCACCCCAATCTTCCGACTTGAACCCCATAGAAAAACTTTGGGGATCACTTGGATATACAAGTCCGAAAACGATGTCCAAAATCGGAAAAACATTTATGGGAAATTTTATAATCGGAGTGGAATCTGATTGGCAGTGAAATAATGAAAAAACTAACATCCAAAATGCCACGACTCGTAAGTGCAGTTATAAAAACACACAGCGGATATATTGATGAGAAGAAGATATAATTGTTTTTTATTATTGTAGGCGAGTTATTTGATGAACTATCGGTTAAATGCGTTCTCTAATAGTGTACAAACCGGCATACATGAAATTTAATCGAGTTTATGAAATATTTCATAATTTTTTTTAGATAGTAGTAAGAATTACGGAGGTGTACACGTACTTTTGAGCAACCAGACTTGCAACGTTCGCCACGTCGCACAGTGGGGCCATTACATGCCAAACGCGGCAAAAAGTGGTTTTATACAAATATACCCACAATGAAATAATGATTCACTAATAGTTAATGGGACACATGGGCCATGATTTAGTGTGATTTTTTTTATCATTTGTCGATTTTTGATACGACTACATGATTTTGAAACGTTCAATCTTAAAATCATCCAAAATTATAATCATCGTTTAATGTTGCTTTGATTCTTCAAAGTAAATGATGAGTAATTGAATTAAATGTACTTAGTACGTATTTAAATTACACCAAAGTACACTTTTATATCTTCAACAATTTTTGAGTTATAACTAATTGAACATGTTCAGTTTTCATTTTAATTTTTAATTATGAATGCAGTGTGATTCAGTGTTCATTTTAAGCCTTACCTTTTTTTTAAAAAAAAAATTAGCTGCTACTAGCTGCTACTGCGAAAAATATAAAGATGATCAACTGTTTCGGCACGTGCGTGCGTCGGCGATTGCGAGTATTGTTACGATTCTCAAAAATACATAAAAACTAGGAAACAATGCATACATTTCATTGTTTTTGCTTCGAATGCTATAAAAGCATAAAATGATCACGAATTTGGTGCATTTGTCGTTTGACGTTCCTAACTTGTATGTTGTGAGTGAAATATTTAGTGTTAAAATAATGGAATTTCCAATTGAAGTAGGTAAGTACAGATATATATATTTGAAATCCGCCATTTTTCTTCATCTTCTATACAGTTTGTTAATACAGTTTTCGTAGCAAAAGTATCATTTTAATAGAGTGACATTTTTTTTTAAATCCTAAGGTTCATCAGGAGTACGTGTGTTTTTAATGATGCAGTTTTATAACATCATGACACAGCATCAAAATCATGATTTTGAAAATAAACTAGAATTTTCAGAGTGGCCCTTAATGAGCCAGGATAATTATTCTCTGGAGTACCAGAAAATTTTGAAAACAAAAATTGCAACTTTGAAGTCCCGTTTCAGGAGAAGATGGCAATTAGCGAATAGACGACACGACCTTTACGAAGAGAAAACGAAAGAATTTATGAATCTATGAATGATTCTTCATCTGATTCTTCATTCGTAATTTAAATACGTACTAAGTACATTTAATTCAATTACTCATCATTTACTTTGAAGAATCAAAGCAACAATAAACGATGATTATAATTTTGGATGATTTTAAGATTGAACGTTTCAAAATCACGTAGTCGTATCAAAAATCGACAAATGATAAAAAAAATCACACTAAATCATGGCCCATGTGTCCCATTAACTATTAGTGAATCATTATTTCATTGTGGGTATATTTGTATAAAACCACTTTCTGCCGCGTTTGGCATGCAATGGCCCCACTGTGGGTCGATGCAGTTTCAGAAATTGGTGAACGTTAGCGAGTGACTATTTGATGCAGGAAACGAGTCAATACCGAACGAATTGCACGAAAAATGATAAGGTCTGGGAATCTCGCGTTTGATGATGGAACGTAGTAGGTATGTCTACTCACGGTTTGCCTCCGGGTACACCGACCGATCCCATGGTAGTCCTCATAGCCACATGGGGGTCGTACAATTGCTGTAGCGAAGGTGGTGCTCTAGGCGCCACGTAGCCATTATAACTCATCATGTCGACGTGTGGATGTTGGCCAGCTGGTCCCAGATGGTGCGGCGGCGGACCGGGTGGATAGTGTGGCGGATAGGCGCTCGGTACGCCAGGAGGCGGTGGTCCCTGGTGTATCTTGGCCGATCCTGAGGGCTTCAGACCAGATCCACCCAGCGCGGAGCCCGAGGTTGGCGTCATCGGTTTCGAGATCGGTGTCGTTGGCTTCTCCCGTTCCTCCATCTTCTTCGCTGACGGTGTGCTGGCGTTGCTGCTGGTTCCACTCCTGGGCGAGTGAGGTGGCACGTCCTTCTTCGTCTGAACCCCGGCACCCATCGCTGGCACCACTTTGTCCAAACCGTTTTCCCGAGGGGACGACGTGCCATTCACCACCGGACTGGTTGGTCCCTCGCTCGCGTCGTCCACGACTAGATCCTGATCGCTTTTCTCGCCGTCGCTCTGCAGCATCAGAAATACGTCTATTACACGAGCAATTCGTCTAACAAATTTTTAGCAATTTTTCAAACTGGCTGGCTCAATAACGGAGTCAATTTTCATCCGACTTACTTAAAATTTTGTACGGTGGCTCCTCTTCAGTTACGGAATTTTATAATAAATAATTTTTATAAATCCCTACGGGATATTGGAACTATATTTCATACATTCGTAAAGGCTGGTAATAAAAAATATACTGAAGCCTCATATTTTATGCAGTACAACGTTATTTTAGCCTTTAGTGTTCCTGTGTGTTCTATGTGTGTCCATCCAATTTAGAAGTTAGTTTTATTTATTTTTTACATACACATATTATGTAGATTTTCACTGTTCAAGAGGGGGTGAGACGCAGATTAAATTTGTGTATTTTTCTACTAAACCAACAAGTTAAATTGTAACACGTTTCCATAAAAACGTTTTCGTTTCGATCGCGTATGAAACAAAATTCCGAGTTGACTCCTTCTCAAATATAAATACGAGTGTAAAGGGTTAAAAATTAGCAACCAGAGAGAAAAAGTAGAACATAGACGTGTCTGTTGATCGTAAAAATTTTATCGAATTTAGTAAATAAATTTACAGCCCCGCCGGAGAAACGTACGTTTCCGAGTCGCGTCGTGTTTGTGCGCGCGATACGCAATCGCGTTCTTTTTTTTTAGAAAACCGTATAAAACAGCATTCGAGGAGATTAAATCGAAGATTGTTACCGGAGTCATTGAAGGATACGCGAAACGGTTAAACAACGAACCGTCTCCGTCGTCGTTTGTTAAGGATTAGGAATATTCCCTGAGACTTTTAATATTCGTGTCGAGTACGTGATTCACGAAATTTAACATTGTTTGACGAAGAGTCGACGAAACGAGGGATTTACTACCATCGAAAACCGTGTTTAAAGAATACACTTCCCACAGTTTGCGTACCCAAGTTACATATTGGTAAGGCTAATCAGCGTTATCTTGTTTGAAGTCCCGAACCGCGGTACAACGTTGCCTCCGCGCCCCGTACTTTATGCAACGATAATTGCGTTATCGTCGTTTCTCCGGGTTAACTGCTAAATAAAACGTCTCGACGTACGAGCAACGAACGATTCTGGTAGACGACGCGGGACAAGAATGTCTGCACTTACGTGACCGATGTCTTTATCCTGTTCCTTTTTCATTTTCTTGATGTGCATGGGATGGTCATGGTGATTCTGAGAATGATGGGAATGGTGCGTCTCCTGCGGTGTCCGTGGACGACTGTACTTATCGCCAGGCGATATCGAGCTTCTCTGTAACGTGACGAAAATTACGCGTCGCGCGTTGTGCTTCGCATAACTTCCCTCCTGGACGAAGATCGCGACAGATAGGAACGAGTTTCGATCGTGTCTGGGTCCCGGGGGAAAACGTACAGACTCGTTTAAAAGTATTACGCGCGCAAATCCTACATTCGTTGCATGAACGTTCGTTCAAACAAGAGTACAGAAGTTTTCGATCCGCGCCGCTATTTTATCGTAAGGAGAAAACTGATTTAAACGAAAGTTATTTTATCGAATTCCGCTACACGTACGAAACTGATCGCTCGAAAGAAACGAAAGTGATAGAAAAATAATTAAAACAAAGCACGAGCGTCGAATCGTTTGTAATTCAGCGAAAGTATATTGGGTAAACGTAGAGCAAACATCGATAAGAACGATAAAAGGAGCAACGCGAACTGGTTTATTTGCATGAAAATAGAAATTAATTGATTTATATAAATTTTACAGCCGCCAAGAACGGTCCCTCGGTTTTATAGTGCAACCATAATGGCCGCTACGTGTGGCCTCACGATCGTTAAGGGTTAATAATGTCCATAATTGATGTTGGAACCGAGAGCATTATTAAAAAATGAGAAAGAGAATGAAACAAAAAACGTAGAAACGCACCGGCAGTCGGGCCCCGCCCTCCGATATATCAGACCCTCGACTTATTACGGTAAGAAAGCTATTATTGAGCAATAGAGACCGACGCTTTGATTTCTAGTTTTTTAATCTATAAAATTGTTTTAACATTTCTTTCCTTCGGCGTGGCTCGGTTTGTAATTGGTAAGCGCACCCGTACATCGCCGTTAATCTATTGAAACAGAATCGAACCACCGATCTATACGTCTCTTTATCTATTTAGTACCGAAACATTATTACAAATATATTTTATCGAAATCTGTTGTACAGACTTAATTTATCTTTAAAAAAAGGCCACAAAAAGAAGAGATATAAATCGCTTTATAGGCCACTATGTACCGCGTATTGATATCGCCATTATGAACTTGAAATTTTTATTTTAACAACCTCGAAACCCCTGGATTACCATAATTTTGAACTTTGATCACGTTTCCGACACTTTCAGCCGACGAAGAAGCGTCCCGACGCTACTCGACGAAGACACATCGCAGGGACAGAAGTATATAGGTTTACACAGGGCCGTTAATCTCTAGTTAAATAACAGACAACTGGCGTGGACTGAAACAACGGATTACCCACCAGTTTCCTGCGGTCCGATCAACGTGACAAAACCGTAATTACCTGCGTCGACGATTATTATCAATTGTCACGCGAGCGCGTTCACGTTCGCGATAATCGATTTCGAATTCGCCGCGGCGAGGCGCGCCGCGCCGGCCGGACGCCCCGTTTCAAAGGCATCGAAACGTAATTTTCAACGCTTCGCGTTCTTGAATAAAACATCTCCAACATCGCGCACGAATGGGCTGTAATGGTTTCGAAACACGGAATAACGATTCCCGCTCTACCTTCGAATAGAGGTTTTCAATTCTCTCTTATCATCCGCGAGCGAAAAAAAAAAGGAATCGTTCCAATAATAAATTCCACGGTGCTCTATCGAAACAACAAATTCCCCCCGTCAGCGAAAGATCGCTAGAAATTAACAACGAGCGAAGAGCAATATTAAATGCCTTTCTTTGATTCGTTTTAATGGGATCAGGTAGAACGGGCATGAGAGCACACGCATCCTCGAACACGCTATTAACCCTTAACGGTCGAAAGGCCACGCGTACTGGCTATTACGTATTATAACGTATTCTATAAAAAATGAAAAGCCGTGCACGTAATTATTGGAATATTACATCATTATTGCATCGTCCATCGTTTCTATAATCAGTATTCAACGCGGTTTACGATATTGATTTATTGCTCTATGTAATATAACGAGGTTCCAGTGTAAACAAGGGTGTATATTAAAATCCATATATTATGAACGTGAAAGATAAAGTTCAAAATATTTCGAAAAATTCTACGAGCCTCGTACACGAGTATCTCGTATTGTTCTATTGTATTTTTAGAGTCGCGATTTTTTTTCGATTCTACCCTGATGATTCCATCCTCCCGAGTTTTTCATTTTTGCATTCCAAATTTTTTCGTGGCCCGAATCCTACTCTGTCAGAGTGTAATCATAATCTGTACGGGTTTCCCGAATTCTGGTTCGAATAGGAGAGCTTGATTAACGTCTAGTCACGAAGTCCCAATTTCGAACGTAATAGGGCGAGCCAGTGTTAGATTGGTAATCGGAACACTGGATAATTTCCACGCAGGTGTCCCCCCGTGTATCGACGAGCTTCGTGCAGCGGAAAAAAATTCTGCAACTAGCCCAGAAAGGCGTACGCTCCTATCGTCACAATTTCGAAATATTTTCTGAAAAACGTCGAGAAATTGAATTGTTTAACATCACTGGTAGTTACTAAAAATCTGGATTAGAAATGTGTCACGTACGTTGATGCTTGCGATCCCCCATAGAATTGCTTTCAATTATAAGTGAAAGAGTTTAATAAAAATTCAAGCTCAAGTTATCCAGATAGCATTCGAACGGTATTCGACAAGATTTGAGTCGTAGAAAAGCTCGAATACAGAAGAGCCATGTATAACGCTTTCCTTGTTAGATCCACGAATCAAGAACTCGTATAGTATTCGAATAATATTTCTAACCCAAGATATCCAAGTAGTATTCGAACGGAATTTGACAAGATTTGAGTCGTAGAAGCACTCGAATACAGAAGAGTCATGTCTGATGCTTCCCTTATTAGACCCAATGGATCCAGAATCGGCATAGTATTCGACAAGATTTGTGTCGTAGAAGAGCTCGAATACAGAGGAGTCATGTCTGGAGCTTCCCTTGTTAAACCCAATGGATCAAGAACTTCATTTGAATCGTAGAAGAGCTCGAATACAGAAGAGTCATGTCTGATACTCCTCTTGTTAGACCCATATTGGAGTCCCAAATGAATCCCAATGAATCGAGAATTTCTACAGTATTCGAACGGTATTCGGCAAGATTTGAGTCGTAGAAAAGCTCGAATACAGAAGAGCCATGTATAACGCTTTCCTTGTTAGATCCACGAATCAAGAACTCGTATAGTATTCGAATAATATTTCTAGCCCAAGATATCCAAATAATATTCGAACGGTATTCGACAAGATTTGAGTCGTAGAAAAGCTCGAATACAGAAGAGCCATGTATAACGCTTTCCTTGTTAGATCCATGAATCAAGAACTCGTATAGTATTCGAATAATATTTCTAACCCAAGATATCCAAGTAGTATTCGAACGGAATTTGACAAGATTTGAGCCGTAGAAGCACTCGAATACAGAAGAGTCATGTCTGATGCTTCCCTTATTAGACCCAATGGATCCAGAATCGGCATAGTATTCAACAAGATTTGTGTCGTAGAAGAGCTCGAATACAGAGGAGTCATGTCTGGAGCTTCCCTTGTTAAACCCAATGGATCAAGAACTTGATTTGAATCGTAGAAGCACTCGAATACAGAAGTGTCATGTCTGATGCTCCTCTTGTTAGACCCATATTGGAGTCCCAAATGAATCCCAATGAATCGAGAATTTCTACAGTATTCGAACGGTATTCGGCAAGATTTGAGTCGTAGAAAAGCTCGAATACAGAAGAGCCATGTATAACGCTTTCCTTGTTAGATCCACGAATCAAGAACTCGTATAGTATTCGAATAATATTTCAAGTCCAAGTTATCCAAGCGGTATTCAGCAAAGTTTCGACTCGCAGAGGCGCTCGAATACAGAGAAGTTGTAGGAATAATATCGGGCGTTGGATGAAACGAGGATTTCCGGTGGGTGTTCGCGCGGCCGGCACGCGTCGCGTTCCCCGACCGTCGTTCGATTCGTAACGGAGCGTAAACGGAATTGGCGGTGGACAGCGTGTCCGCGAGTGTGTACGTAAAAGCCACGAAGAAAAGAGGAAAACACGAGGGGATCGGCCCCCGGGGGCCCGGCTACGAACGCCGCGTACGGACCAAAGAAAGAGAATTAAAGGAAGCGCGATACTAGGAGGAGTAAAGGGGTAGGAGCACGGAGGATGGCTTGGGAAGGAAGGCAAAAAAAAAAAAAAAGACGAGAAAAGGAATGGAAGGAAGATGCTTTGGGAAGAGGTTGATAATGATTATAGAGTCGGCGCAGCGCGGTAGAGAACGAGACGAAGAGACACACGTGCACGCACCGCGCACGGATACACGAGCACACGCGCGCCCAGGTACGAGGGAACGAACAGGAACGAGGGAACCGAGGAAACTGCCCGGAGGATCGGTCGAATAAGGAGAGAGGAAAATAGAATGACGAGAGGCAGAATGAGAGGGCGTCGATGGGCGTTTCGCGGTCCCGCGATGATTACAGGCTCGACAAACCTATAATACACGCTGGCTATCTCCCCTTTTCCTCCTTCTTTATGGCTGCTCCGTTCTTTTCATTATTTTTTTTTCTTGCCCTTCTCCGTCCCTCTCGTTTCGTCTCCCTTGTGAGACTCGCGAGCGAGTTCTACGCGAGAAGGTCGTTACTTGCATTTTCTACGGACGAACCGTGCGCGCCTACCCCTCGGCTACGAAAAGAAAAGTTTCCGAACGAGGATCGCGGACCGAAGCCGTCACGCGGGCTTTATCCCCCGAGCCCGATACAATCGAGCTTACCATTCGTCTGTAATTACTTTTGTAACTTTAATGTTATCCGCTCGCTACGGGCACGGGTATCGTTTCTAACCCCGCCGGGAATTTCGAGCCACGGTTCAACTGGTTCGGGGGCTTTTGTTTCGCGAGACCACGAACGAGGCTGTTGATCGACGCGCGTGGAAAATGATCTCGCGTCGGGATCCGGGCGTGAAACTACTCGCGATCCGTTTCATAACAAATGGCACCTGATTATTTATTGTATACAGTAATGATTCGGGGTGGGTAGCGAGAGAAATGTTCAATTTACGAATTACGTGTACATTTTAAGAATCACTAATGTAATCTCCTTTGTATAGAGCCAACACAACATCCTGAAGGCATACAGAATCGACGAAAGTCGAAATTCCTCAGGTAGGAGGGTCAGAAATGTTCAATTTACGAATCACGTGTACATTTTAAGAATCACTAATGTAATCTCCTATGTATAGAGCCAACACAACATCCTGAAGGCATAGAGAATTGACGAAAGTCGAAATTCCTCAGGTAGGAGGGACAGAAATGTTCAATTTACGAATCACGTGTACATTTTAAGAATCACTAATGTAATCTCCTTTGTATAGAGCCAACACAACATCGTGGATTCATAGAGAATCGACGAAAGTCGAAATTCCTCAGGTAGGAGGGACAGAAATGTTCAATTTACGAATCACAGGTTCATTTTAAGAATCACTACTGTAGTCTCTTTTCTATACACCCAACAACATCCTGGAGTCATAGGAAGACGACTATACAAATTGTTCTGAGACAAGTTCGATACAGTTATTAACCCCTTTTACGCAATGCAAGATTGTCCAGGATAAAAATGGCGGCACAATCTGCTTTTCAAAAGTCTGTTTGTTTCTAAAGTCTTTTTGGAAGTCTGTTGCCTGATTAAGTTCTTATATATCATGTAAAATTCTCTCAAACCTCGACTGAAATGGACTCGTTACTCTCCCATGTTAAAACATTTATGTATCAAATGGAATGACCGTGATTCGGACAGGCAAAATGGGACACATTTGTACGAACTGTTCTCATTGTTTTTTACAATAGGCCCCACGCGTTATGAAGCAGCCTGTACGCCAGTTTCTAGATACCACATGGGTGATAACGAGAGTTCTAAGGCTGACAGTAATTGACGCCAAGAGCCGAGTACTGGACGCATTGTAACTCGACTGGAAGGATGATCTGCAGCGAGGGTGGGATTGAGTTATGCATGAGCTACGACCGAACCCGTTACCGAACCGATTCCGAGCGAGCTAATATTAGAATTTCACCGCAGTTTTCGTAGACATACAACAATATATTACACTCGTGTCGCGATTGCACCTAGTTTGTATCTGCAAAATATTTTAGTAAGATTCGAAACAACGTGAATTTAAACCGAGCAATATTCAGTTGCAAATTGTTTTGTCCTACGACAAAGAGGGTTAAAATCGCGAGGATCGTGGACGAGGCAGCGTGGAGCGAAACCGGAAAAAGGAAAAGTCGAAACGCGAGGAGGAGACCCCGGTTAGGGATTTTTTTTCCGAGTCGTTCTCTTTCCCCGTCCGCCACTTTATATACCTCTTCTGCGTCCGTCGAAAACATAATTGCGCGTACAGTACGTACTCGTGGGCGAAGTACGGCTAAAGCACTCGTTGTACCCTTCACGCGCACGGAAAGTTACACGCGTGTAACGTACCTGTAATACACGTGGGGTCACGTCGCGAGTACTCGTGCGTCGAGTACGTTGTACCGTGGAACGTTAAGTTGCGTACGCGAGCGGCTGGTGTACACGGCGCGACCGGGATTAGGAAGAGTCGTCGAAAATGCATAATTTAAAGCGTACGCGGGCGAAGGAAGAAAAAGAAAATAATAATTGTGCTAGGAACAAAAGGGTCGACGAAGGATGGGAGGCTCCGTTCTTCGCGGTGCATCGAAATAATCTTGTTAATCGTCGCACCGGGGTAATTTTTACCCCGTTCGATCGTTCGACGCGATTGGATTATTTATCTACGCCGTTAAACCCTTCAAAATTTTCCGAAGGGAAAATCGCAGTGAAACGGATAAACGGGGAAAAAAATGCCCATCGACGTTTATTTGTTTACCAGCGCCCGATAGATTGCACGTTTGAACTTCAATGGATAATCCGATTGTTGGCTCGACGTTTCGATAAATGATTTGTCTGCGTTTCGGCGGAGAAATATTTACCGGTTACGTAAAATACAGAAACTGACGGGGAAGGTTGAAGGGGGTCCGGGGGGGGGGCATAAACCACGGCGCATATTATTGTTTCATCCGCGATAAAATAGCGGCGCGCTGACATAATTTCATTTGCGCAGTAAACCTTAATTACGACACGCGAAAAATAAAGCGCGCCTCCCTCTTTCTCTCTCGTTCTCTCTCTGTTGCCTCTGTCGCACGGCCCCGGTTCTTCCCCCCGTCTCGCGACGTTCGATAACATCGACAAAGCGCGGCCCCCATCGACGCCTCATCGACGTCGATTAATAATTTAATCCGGAACGACGACGTCATTGTCGAAAACGCGATTCGCGCGTCGATACCCCGGCGTGCTTCCAACGGGGGCGGTCGATTTTCAGCTAAAAGCGAAGAAACAACGCTCGAAAACGCGGACCGGAGTATGAGAAAAAAATCGAAAAAAAAAAGCGAAGGCGCAAACGAGGAAAAACGGCGGGCAACCCATTAACCCGGTGCGATTCGAATACTAAATCCGTCCGGACTCGCGAAAAATTCGTAACTCGAAATACGCTCTATCCTTCTTCGATGGTGAACGCGCGCGCGAGAGAGAGAGAGAGAGAGAGAGAGAGAGAGAGAGAGAAAGAGAGAAAGAGAGAAAGAGAGAAAAAAAATAGATTGGAAAAACAGAACGAAATATTTCTACTCACGTGTCTCTCCTCGGTCGAGCTGAGACCTGTAACGAGACAAATGCAAACAATCGTCAGTCAAAAAAGCCGTGCGGTACGTTTCCACGGGAAAATGATTTTTCATGCACCGCGGCTCTCGACGTGTCGAACGGCGGAACGATAGCGGGGCGGGGGATTGTGCATGGGGGTTGGAGAGAAAAAAAAAATCGTAAAAATCCCGACCACCGCGCCCGCCGATAAAATGTTAATAACGTGCCCGTAAAAGGGAGTATACAGAGAACAGGGAGGGGACGGGAGTGTGGATAGGTGGGAAGGGCGACCGGCGCCCGTATAAATGATCTTCATGCATATTTATGCGCTTTTCGCTCAAAACCGCCGGTGTCCGCTAACAGGGTGACGCAAACACGTTCACCGCCACCCCCGCGTCCTTTTACCCCACCAACCCCCTACGTCCCCACGGTCGAAAGCGGATACCCGAAAAGCGCTTTGAAAATTTCCAGCCGAGCGAGCCGAGAGCCGCACGCTCGCGTCACGTCGGGCTACATATTTTTTTTTCCCACCCCCCTCTCCCCCTGCCTCGAGCGGGCCGCGTGGCCCATCGCCCAGTTTTCGGTGGCGCGCACCCCCATCCCACCCCCGACGCTCGACTCGTGCTCTTTTTTTCCAGCCCCTCGGGCACGAACGGTATCGCGAAAGCGGGATCAAACGGATGACGGTGACAAAAAGAGGAAAAATCCGGTCCGATGGTCGGCAGTCCGCGACGCGGAAAGCTCGCAGTCGAGATTCGTTATATCGGGACTGGCCAGGGGAGGGGATCGTGAGAGGGGGATAGAGTCGAGAGGGTGGGAAGCAGCACTCGAACGTGACCAAAGGCCGGAATTTCGTTAATTTCTTTTCTCGCCGCGTTGCCCGCAGTGGTGGCAATTAAAATCGTGTGGAAGGGCGAAAGGTATGCGTATAACGAGTATTCCGGGGTTTAACGATTCTCCCGCGAAGCGGGCGCAGGAGGAATTCGATCGTCGAGGGGGTGGAACGAAGGAGGGCGCCCCGACGAAATCGGGAGAGGCTGCTGCGGTTTTTGGAACAGCCGACCAGAGGGCGGTAACGCGTTGCTAAAGGAAGCGTGGAAATTAACCGGCAGTAACGTGAATTATAGGGAGTTTAACCCCGGAGTTCGATCGAGGTACGCGATTCGATTCCCTTCGACGATCAACCCCTACGGGTCACGGGATCGAGAACGTTCGCGAGTAGTTTTCCAGATCGTTTTACGATCGAGACTTTTACGTGGGTATCTCCAGGCGGTTGCTCCAATTGTCACGATAATGATAGAAGGTCTTCTGGAATTCAACGATACTCTACCGTCGACGAGAAGCCTCGATTTTGAACGTTATAACGGTTCATCGTTTCTATTGGGTTGTTCGGAAAGTAATTTCGTTTTTCTTCTGCGTGAAAAGGAACAATTTTCTTCTAATATAGGATGTTCCGCATTATAGTAACAATGGTATTATTGAAAAATTGATCAGTATCGATATTTACTCTAATTATGCATTTTTACTATTGGCCGTGTCGATGGTCACCGGTGACCCCCACGGCAGTCAACGTGTTAACTGGCCTTCCAGAACGTGGGGCACCTTCAATATCAAAGTTTTGACACTGCCATTCTGTTAAAACATCTTCTCCAAACACGTCACACAATTTTATGCTTGTTTGAACAGCATTCTTACCTTTTTAATAATAAAAATGCATTATCTGATTTTCCATAACTGACGGGATACCAAAGAAATACAATTTCTTTTTACCAAGAAACGAACAAAATTTTTTACAAATAAGCCACGAAGTGTCAGCTGTGAAAATATATAATGAGAATACGGTTTAGAATAAAGTTGACTGGCTAAAAATATAATTAACGTCTCTGTTGGTAAGAAATCGAAATCATTTCCCGAACAACCCAGTATGTTCTCACGACAAAACAAATTCGAGAAAAGAGACATGTATTTGCGTAGGATGAAGCGTGGACGGAAAAGCTAGTACGCGATTTGTCTTCCTCCCAAGAAGACAAATTTACTAATCTTGATATACGAGATTCGTCGCAGTTCGTTATACTTTGCTCGTTATCGGGCTTGAAAACATTAGATACTGTTTATGAACGTATCGTAAATCTGAAAGGATAAGATAAGAAGAAATTCAAGTCCATGCAGCGTACCGGTGGTTGTGGCGAAACAGTTCGTACGAGAGGCCAGCGATTGTCACGTTGTCGAAGGATGGCAACGTGACATTATTGGAAAAATTGCTCCGAGTCGTCTGTGACTTGATCCGAAAATATGCAAATACAGTTGTGCAATTTCGCCCTAAGAATTACTTTCTTTGGCTATTTGCAACGCGTTAATTATCAAAGAGGGAGATACCTCTCGATTTCTGGTTTCATAGGTCCTACGCTCCAAATTCACCCTTTCACGAATCGAAAGTATGTAACAAAAGACATTGATAGGCGTTACACACTTTCTCCGCATGTATCTAAACTTGGAGCAATTCTACTTTCTACTAAATGGGTATTCTCTAAACTGGTCTTTATCGATGTTTAACACTTAGCAGTCCGCAATGGCGATCCGTCTACTAGCAAAAGGGTGAATGTGCCCTGTGAAAGGGTGAATATGATTCGCAAAAGGGTAAACTCGGAGTACAAAACCTGAATCGTCGAGAGGTGTGCGTTGCAATACCATGGAAGGACAACAACCCCAACGCGCTTTAGAATCGTGGTTCGAGCAGTCGTGCGCGGCAGTTGTATTTTCGAAAGAATCGTTACGTGTCCGTAGCCCTTGGAAGACAAGGTGGATGTAAGAGAAATTGACTACTCACCACCGTTGCTTTTTAAATCGTCGGGCTGACCACGGTGCAGTTCCGGTTTACCAAGCATCGAAAGTGGATGAGCCGCCGTTGTACCGGGTGCTGTGGCGGCTCCCGGCGTCAGGCCAATACCAATAAGAGCAGCAGAGGCGGAAGTCGGCACCGGAAGTCCAGCAGCTGGCCCTAGTCCCGGAAGTCCGGGTAGGCCAGGATGAGCGCCTATCGCTGTCCCCTGTGGCAGTTGCTGAGCATGCATTTGCTGTATCAACCTTGGTATATCGGGTCTCTGTTGCTGAAACAGAAAGAGCGGCTGTCAAAGTCGCTGAACTTTAACGGTTAACACCAGTGACATTACATATAAGCCAATGTAAAATATAGGGCGTGTCGGGAACATCGGGAGTAACAGAGTGTCTTTAAATTGGACGATTTTATTACAACCAACGTAATTATTCTGTCCGCGCGTCGACTGTCATAGCGAATGCTTGGAATAAACCAATCCTAACGCTTGCAGACATTTGAGCAACGTTAGGTCTGGATTTGGTACCGAATACTTCTGTTGTACGTATTAAAATTTATGCAAACGTCGAGGAGATTCCTAGACAGAGAGAACAAGCAATTAACGCGTTTAATTTACGTCTTTATTCTTGTTTGATATGTTTATGTCGATAGGATCGAAGAAAAACACTAACAATTTAGAAACGCTCTGTATATCTGATGAAGATCGTTTGAACAGGAATTTGGACTTGGATCTTTCGGTTGCCATACGACTGCTACTATTAATTCGACTATTCGGGCTGTCGACAGGTTTCTGATCCTGAAATTGAATATTGCAAAGGGGAGTGATACTCTCATTAATTAATAATAATATTGAATTAATAGGAGCAGTCGAGGCATGGTTGAGGTGATTTAGGCAAAAGTTCAACAGTAACTAACACCATTAATTACCTTTAATTTGCTACAACTCGTAGGAAATATTGAAAACTTATTGCTAAACTAAACATTCTTCCAAATCTGTACATTTTAATTGGTAACGAAATATTTTTAACGAACACAAGGAAAAGTACAAATATCGACGATGCATCGCAAGTCTCATTTTGGGTTCCTCTTCCTGTATATACATTTTTATTTACGTTTATTTAACGTGATGAATGGTAATGATAAAGTTATACAACATTATTATAATACAAACAGAAAATAATGTATCAGGAAAAAGAAATAACAGACACGCAACTCAATGATACGATTACACGCTTAAATAAATAGAATAAAGTATAGTCTTGTTTTGTTATTATCTACCGTGCCACCATATTTACAAGAACAAAAATAAATGAACGTGTTTTTGTCGAGACACTATGCGCCGTAATCAATAAAAATTCAAATTCGATTTTATAGAAAATAAACCAAATAGAATTTCCTTTTTATAAATAACTCATTTCCCATCGTGCCACGAATTACGCCCTACCCTAGATATACGTAATAGCGAGCGACTTGTGAAATATTAGGGTGTTCCACAAATGATTGCTCGTTTCAAAACCTTGATTTACTAAATGATAAATGCAATATAACATCGTTCCAAGCACGATGATCTATGATCTTTTGCTATCGTTCCTGAAAGCAATTGCATTCCTCCGCTATAGCGTGTCGGTTCTTCGGATACAAGAAGCACTCAACGCGCTCACCATTGCTCGGAAAAAATAATAATCAAACGGAACAAAGTCTGAACCGCACGTTCAACGTATCATAGTTTCAACGATAGAATTATTTCGCTTCTAATAATAATGCGAAAGCGCCAAAACCTTTGATTCTTTCGTGATTCGTTCCGAAAACAAACCTCACCGAACACTGAAAACTGAAAACGCAAACGAACTCAAGATATACATATATTTTGACAGGGTTCCGAAGAACGGAATTACGTAAACTATAAACTGTCTGTGATATTTTAATTTCTCACTGTTTCCATTTTATTTCAAATTTTGTTTTTAACGCTTCGACCGGCAGACCAAACCCACGAAATTGTCCGCGAGATCGAAACTTTGTTTTTAGAGAATCGAAAGCTCGTTTGTACAGTCTCGTTAAACTTAAAAACTCCCATAAAAATTTGCTTCCTTTGACCCCACGATCTTGAGAATTTTCTTAGCTCCTTAGTTTGAAAAATTGAAGAAAAAAAAATATCTGTAAAAGGGCGTTTTCATCGCTCGCGAATAAGGCTCCCAAAGGCGCGATATCATTTAAGGCGATCCAACGTTCAAAATCACCGTCTGAAGAGGATGGACGTCGACGAGGTGTCCCCCTCCCCCCCGGTGGCTTTTGATTTCGCGCGATCCCCGGGTTTTGGTACGGGGGGCTGGGTGGGCCTCGACGCCGGGGAAAAATTGTTGCGCGTCAAAAGCCCCTCGCCGGAAGTCGAGTGGCCGCAAGGCAAATTGCAAGCTACATCCGTGGAGTATGTGCACGTGCGTGTAGGGCGCCGCAAATACGTCCCCGGGGGGTAAACTGTGCTGCGGGAAGACCATACCAGCCGTATACACACGCTGCTCCCGACCCCACCGTCTCTCCCTTGTCCCATTCAGCGACAGTCCAGGAAAATAACTATCGTACACAATCGGCGGCGCGTAGCCCCGAGAGGGGTTATTTCGCATAATCCACCCTCGGCGACGAGACCACGACCCTCGTTCGCGTACCACTGTGTTACATTCTCCCCCTCTCTAGTCGACCCTAAATACCTAAGTGAAATCCACGATAAGCATGATTCGCGCGCGTAACGAGTTTACCGGCCTCTCTTATCCCCTCTTGATCTTACGTTGGATATCTCTCTTCTCTCTCTCTTGCGAACCTCCGTGGCTTCGTTCCGCTTCTAAAACTTGCTGCTTCTTACTCCTTGCCCCTCCCTTTTCGCCATAAGCCAGAAAATAATTTTTGAACCGCGCGGTGGAAAATTAATTTCTCAATTGTCTTTTGTAGAAGTACAATGGACGAAAGGACCCCGCACGGATCTTATGGAAAATGGCCCCCGGTTAAATTAGCTGACCTTTTGATACGATGTAGTTCATGATGTCTTGATGAAACGTTCCAATGGGCCCAAGCTCGTAAATTGAATAGTTTCCGAGATACGGGGGATCAAAAGACAATAACAGTGTGCCTTATTCTAGACTACCACGTTTGAGCATATTTGAGTGTAAGAAGCACTGTTGTGAGCCTGTGGGCCCTTAAATATTACCCCTTGACCCCCTGACCCTCTGACTCCCCTTCAGGAGTCAAAATAAACGGACGCCAAAAAGGTAAAAAATGGTTCTCCTTTTCATTGTACAAACATGAAGCACCGTCGACATTAGCATTACCCAGTGTGCACCACGAGGAGGTTGCTCGATCAGATTTTGCACACCATGTGGCCCTGAAAAGGACCGTTTTTATAGTTCTCTCTATTTGTCCATAACAATCTCAACATTCATATTGTCTAGATGCCCTCTATTAGCGCAGATTGACACATCATGAACTACATCGTATCAAAAGGTCAGTTACTTTAACCGGGGGCCATTTTCCATAAGTTCTGTGCGGAGTCCTTAGTATGGGGACACTAATAGTTTTTAACAAAAGAAATTAAGTATTGCGTTAATAAAATTCAATCTCGGTGAGATACATGAGGGAATGATAGGAAATAGAATGACATCTTAACAAAAGAAAAAACTCTTTTATTTTTTTTTTCGTGAACAGTAGTTAATAATTCAATGTTTTAACCCTTAAATAGATTATTGGGACCGCCGCGATCCTCCGCAAGTTTAAACTAATAATTGTTTAATATACGTCGATGTAATTATTTGAAAATTGATGTAACACTCCATTACTCCATTATTTGTTAAATGCTTCAAAGTTGATCTCCATTTACCAATTTGGTAAAAATCAACATTAAGTAAAATAATTAAATTGAAATTGAAGGTCCACTTAAGGGTTAATTTAGAGATCTCAATTATTTTGTACGAACTCGGTCAGTCTTGCAAACTGTACAAACAGGTGAAAATAATTCCCTTTGAAAACGCTTATTAAACGCAGAAACGTGCGAAATCAAGAAGCGGATCGCAACGGGCAGAATAATAATCTGCAACTATCTTGGACTTTTATCGAGCTCGAAAGGCCACCCTTCATCCGAATTCAGCACGAACGCGCGAGACCTGGCGCTGCCATTAAAAAATAAATAAATAAATTCCGGCATTAATATGCGTTTTACGTAAACTCATCGAAAATACGAGGCACGACGGGGGAGGCGGCCGCAACGGCGTGTGCGTTAATAATACACTTTATTAACCAGAATTTCCACCATTCGTTTCGCCGAACGTCAAACAATACACCAGAGAGATGCGCCAACGCAATTTCTACCCATGCACGCTTGAATTCGAAGCGAAAAATTTTTCACACGATACGCGCATCCCCGTTTTTATCTCCGGGATTATGCAACGTTATCGTTCGCGCGCGATACCGCGTCTCTCTCGTTCCGTTCCATCCGCGAAAAAACGGTTCCGATTATAATTCGACGCTCGAACTCAACGACGCCCCACCCACACCGCGCACCCGACAAACAAAACGACGAGCTGTAAATGTGTTTTTTCGTTACAGAGAGCGAGAGAGAGAGAGAGAGGAAACGAGAGGGGCGAGCAAAGTGTAGAGGAACGCAACGGTTCGATCATCGAACGAGCAATAATTGTATAATGCACCAATAACGACACGGGCGAGCGAAAAATGCATTGTCGGGCGCGCGGTTATTTTCGTCGGAAATCGCATTTCAACCCGGGGACAATTACTCGAAGCCCGCGCGTCGAAAAAAAGCCAGCCAAGCACGTAAATATAGCTAACGGAAAAATTAGTGGCGCTACGGGCTCCCTGAAAAACGGAAATTTATATTTGAATTAATTATTAAAACCAACTTCGCGAATCAATATTTTTTAATGCATCTAATATTGCAAGGGATTGTGGATGCGAGGTATAAGTGTGAGGAGGACATTTAGAATGCTTGGATTTCAAATTTCAAACTGAGTAACATTTGAAGATTAACACGTTCCAGAGGTAAACCGTGTAATATTCTGCAAGACTAAAATTTGAATTTTAAACCATTGTAAACTGCACCTCCTAAAATTTGTCTCGGTACTTATTTTTGTAAGTTTGCTAAAATTCACAGACATACGTTCATCTTCAATGGTTATTTCACTCCAGAATTTAAACATCCTTCAATTATTATATACAGACATTTTATAACACGTGTCTGAGCTTGTAGAAGTGTTTTTGTAACTTTAATACGTGTCTGGATTTTTTTTAAACAAC